GGGCTCACCCCGGCAGGAATGCTGCCGTGAGCAGACCTGGGAGGAGAGAGAGAGAGAAGACCCTGCCTCAGGCTGCCTGGTGCTGCCACGAAAGGGGGGGGAATATTTCACCCCCACCACGTGGGATGAGAGAAGGCCCCGCCCCCCCCCTTCTCCTTCTCCCCTGCCCCTTGCCCCCTCTTCCCGGACTAAGCCCTGGACTCTGTGCACCTGCGCCGCCCAGGGAGAAGGGGGCTGCCACCCCTCGATCGTGCCCCTCCCCACCCCTGGAGCCCAGCGAGGGGCGTCACCCCGCCCACGCCACGCCCTCGGCCCCGGCAGACCCCGCTCACCAGCGGCCTCCCCTCGCTCTCGCTCCTAGGCCCCGCCTTCCCGGAGCTCCTATTGGTCCAAGCCTCTTCCCCTCCGCCTTCCGACGGGACGTTCCTTTCCGCCGCCCACTCCTATTGGCCAGCCCTCCCCACCCCTGGAGCCCAGCGAGGGGCGTCACCCCGCCCACGCCACGCCCTCGGCCCCGGCAGACCCCGCTCACCAGCGGCCTCCCCTCGCTCTCGCTCCTAGGCCCCGCCTTCCCGGAGCTCCTATTGGTCCAAGCCTCTTCCCCTCCGCCTTCCGACGGGACGTTCCTTTCCGCCGCCCACTCCTATTGGCCAGGAAGGCAACCCAGGAAAGCATTCATTGATGAGTTTCCTCTTCCTCGCCGCTAGGCCGCGCCCACCAAAGGGGCGGTCCTTTTTCATAAGCACGCTCTGATTGGCCGAATGTCTGCCAACGTCATACACCGAAGGTGAGTCTTCCCCCCCTCTCCAGACGCGGCCCCGCCCAGCCTGAACGTGGCAAAGTTCCTTTATGGAGACTACAATTCCCAAAATCCTCGTGGGAACAAGGATTAGTGTTCCTGTTGACTCCGGCATTCCGAGAGCTGGAGTTGCAAGAAAGTAACTTGTTGCTCCTGATAAGACGTGCCTGTCCCGTCGGTGCGCCGCGTTGGGGCGACACGGGCACGCGCATCGCGGCGCGTGCTGGTCCTGCTCGGTTTGCTTTCGGTGTCCAGGATCGCTCTGCGCCACCAAACGTCGCTTGGGGGGGGGTATGGAAGCGCCAGCTCTGTTTCCACCCCCAGGTCTGTCAGAAGGACAGTCTGCTCTCGTGCCTCGTCTTTTTTGGGTCTGAAAAAGTGCATTTATATGAAATCTGAGAGTCTTTGAAAATGCCACAAGAGTCTAACCCGCCTCTCCTTTCCCCCCTTTTAATTTTGGCAACAGGCAGACGCTCAGAGTAGCCTCTAAAAGTACCGCCTGTTTTTGCATTTATCTTTCTGAGAACTCTCCTGAAGGCCAGAGACCATAGATCCTGCGGAAAGCTGGAGGAAATTCAGAAGGAGGAGTGAAAATTGGTGAAAGGGTTATCTATAATTCAAGATAAGCAAACGACACCATCTTTGCCGGCAGAAAGGAGCAAGAATTTGGACCGACTTTTAGTGAAAGTGAAGAAAAGAAGTGCCGAAGCAGTTGAACGTTAAGAAAAGGGCAGTCGGAAGAACTGCTCCGCTTCAGCGTTGGCAATGAAGACATTGAAATACCTGTAGTTAAAAGAGATTTTGTCTATCGTGGTTCAATCATCCAATCAAAGGGAGGCTGGAGCCGTGAGATCCGAAGACGGCGGAGACTCGGAAGGGCAGCGATGAAGGGATTAGGAAAAAAAAATCCTCTCGAGTGTCAGGATGTGTCGCTGGAGACCAAGACCGTCCACGCTTTCCTCTCTCCAGTCACCACGTATGTGCGTGAAAGCTGGCAGGGGGGAAAAAAAAAAACAGGATTGGTTCGAAATGTGATGCTGGGGGAGAGCAAGTGAATCCAAGGTCAAATCAAGCCTGAACAATGAATCTCCAGGGGCGAACAGGTTGACACGGAGGCTCTCCTACATCGTGGGAAAGGGAGTACGTATTCTCTGGGGAGGACCATCATGCTGCGAAAGGTGGCAGGCGGCAGGAACAGAGGAAGCCCCAACGCGAGATGGGCGGACCCTCTAACGGCAGCCACGGCCTGGCCTTCCCAGGAGCTGAGCAGGGCGGCCCTCCGCCGTCGGGGGGGCGGGGGCGGCTCGAAGGCAGGGAAGGACAACCGCAACGGACGGAGCTGGCTGGAAAACTCACCTGTTCGGGCGGCCGCTCCGCGACTCTCTAAAAAGGGACGCGTTGAACATCTGGCCAGGGTTCCCCGATTGTTTCGCCTCTCCGCTCCGAGCCGAGATGCAGCCTCGGGCGGAGAAGCCCGTCGGTCCTGCCCCGGTCGCGCTGCCCTCGGCCGGCCTTTGCCTGGAGGGGTCCCGCCAGGCCCCCCCCCCCCCCGCGGCCAGCCACAGGCACTCTGCACACGCTCGCCGGCGCGCTTGTCTTCTCTGCCGCCCGCCAAGCGCGAGGG